TTTTTTGATTTTGGTAAGTGCATAGTCGGCTCCTCAAAGCTGAACCCCACTTGGCCAAGTCGACTTGGCCAACTTGACTTCTGTCTAGATTATCTAGTATCTCTAAAACGTAGATTTTTGTCAAAATTCCTACTTTTAATGAAAACCGAGTAGCTAATTTATCTGTAAGATATTTAAATGTTGCTATATCAACTCAATTTTTTCCAGAAACAGAATACTGATAATCTTGCAAGTGTCTTTAAACTTGTGAAAGGTTGTGAAGCCACTATGGCCACTTTCAAGCAATCTTTCCATGATGAGTTCAAAGATGTGGCTGATAAGGCACGTATTGTGTTTGAATCAAATGGCTTTTGATGTGCTCGTGGAAAAATTTACCTTATTTGTCGAGTATTTTCCAGATCCATAAGAATGTGATGGAAGAGGTGGAGGAGCATTTAAAGGTGTGTAAACTTTCATAAGCCATTACTTTTGACTCTAACACAGTGCAGTACTGCAATGTATTGTTTGGTTGAGATTCGAAGTTCGAGGCCGGACAGTCTTTGTCAGCTCATGCGAAAACCTGCGGACGCCCGACCAGGCGGTTGACTTCGTTTTGCGAACGGAAGCGCAACTATGCGAGTAAGTATAAAGCAACAGGCATTGTACAATCAGATAACGGAGTGTACTTTTCACACACTAGTTTTTACAAAAAAAACATTTGTGACCATAACTCTTTTAAATTTGTTCATTACCGAACAGCAGAAGTTTTATGTCCCTAATTTTAGAGTAATAAGACCCCGACAAATGGTTCGAGTATGTTCGAGTACGTGCGGACAGATACACAGACAGACAGAAAAAGTTTTTACCGACCAGACGGAGCAATAGGCTTCGCTAATCGCTCAGCTAAAAATATAATAACATTTGGTTGCTTTGAGGCCTACGTATGTCAGTGTCTACTTTGGCGGAAATCAATGCCACTGAAAAGTTGCTCTCTGATGATCACATCAGCATTGCCAGTGCAATGCTAGAATCACAGTTCGATGCTCAGTTTGACGGGCTGAACACGCCCCCCCCCCCCCCCCCCCCCCCCCTCACCTTTTGCAGCAAGCCACAATGCAGATATCGATCTAAATCTGTACTACCCCCCACTAACAGACAAGGAAAACGTCAGATCAAGCACACTGGAAATGAGCACTAGGTGACATGCATCTTCCCCAAAGGTACCCAGTTAATGAGGTATTTTCCGAATTAGAAGAACAAGAGGAATATTGTCTGCTCCCGGACCATCACAAAGCCTCGACCAATCAGAGAGAGCCTCTCTCGGCGTCTCTCGTGGCCGGCTCTAGAAAGGCCGTCTCTGATTGGTCGAGGCTTTGTGATGGTCCGGGAGCAGACGACATTCCTATAGACCTTTTCGCCCACAATGTGGCAACGCCGCAAGTAGAATCTTATACTTGAGATAAACCGTATTTTCAGTGTCTGTCAACCAAATTACTCATCACCACTGTATTCCTTGGAGAATTTACTACAGACAAATGTTTTTGCTTTTTGAAAATTTGCCTAAATTACAATTTCACTACAGAGATTTGCGTTGTTGCCAAGTTGTGGGCGAAAAGGTCTTTTGTTCTTTTAATTCGGAAAATACCTCATTTATGAGGTCACGTGACTGTATGTGACTGACGAACAATACAGCGTTAGTAGGCGAAAGAAGAGAAAAAAAACCTTTACACTTCGTGTTAAAAAATTGACGATCCGAATTAAAGAAAACCCAATACGAAATTGTTGCTACTAATTAAATACGGTATTGCTTTCTAGAACTAGAATAGTTACGACTCTTTGTTATGAGATTCACGGCCTTGTGCGTTGTTGTTGTCCGTCTTTGCTGCCTCTGACCCTACACAAAACCCCCAAAGCGGAACAAAATCGGGGACTAACACTTCTTATGAGACTATAGTGCCGCGGACTATAGTACAATGGCACCATTCAACATAGCCATAAAATTTTACTTCCACATAGATATATACGTCCGATGGTCATCTATTTAGATTTTACTTTTGCCTTGTATTTTTCTTGGCTTTACCAACTTGTGAAAGACCCGACTCATATTTCGTGTGAAGCTAAATACGGATGATCCAAGTCCGCCACTCCTGTGGTATCCACGTGGATCGGTCGTGGATGAGGTCACCAGGCATCTGCCGCATAGGTAGCTCCCAGTCAGGTGTGTTGAGTAGATGTCTCGGTGGCGCAGTGGTTAGCGTTACCAGCTACGGAACGGTAGGTCACGGGTTCAACTCCAGGTAAAGGTAAAATGAAAATCGCTTTAAGGGGGGACCTTTCGTAAATAAAAGTTGTCCGATTTTGATGAAATTTTATGTGGCCGTTCTGTACCACGTCCTGACTCTAAATATAAAATTTGGGCTCGCTGGCTCAAATACAAGCTGAGATATTTAACGTTAAAATTGTTAAAACACGGCCTTTTTGTCGAACTCTCCACGAGAGCGTATCGCTCGGATCAGTAATTTCATGTTGGCATGTGATAGAGGAAGGATGCCCGGAGGTGCAATGCCCAATCCCATCGTTGTCCAAAACAAATAAAGTGT